AGAAGAACCGACTATCGCCGGACCAGTCAGACATTAGAATGGATTCTAAGATAGAGTAATGGGCCCGTAGGAGTACCTACAATTCGATCATAGGATAGGATTATCTGAAGAAATTCGCTGAATCAAGATGGATAAACAAGCAGAAACCAGCAGTCTATGGCGAAATCATGGAGAGGCCTTCATCCAGCAGGGGGTCGACAAAGGCTGAAGATTATGATGATAAGTAGCGCGAGTATTTAGCGTTTAGATAATTACGTTAAGGCAATCTCATCAGCATTTAAGCAATAAGTAAACTCTGAGAGATAATTTACTAAAAGAACGTAATAAACTATCGTGTAATTCTCTCTTAGCATTGGCACCTTTCCGTATGGTCTGAGTAAATTATTTTTCCTTCGCTGGTAAATTTTTCAGACAAACCTAGCAGCCCCTATTCGCAACCCCATTTTCCCATATTTCAAGAATCTTCATGGAACTCGTCCGGACCGGAACCACCATCAAATTTTTCCCAAGACTTTATAAATTAATTTAAAGAAAGTTTTTGCCCTCGGTCTCGAAAGTGATAAAACTGAAATCCTCGAACTTCAGATAGGCTTCTTTCCGCAAAACACCGAGTTCACTATAGAAAGAGCAAACAATGCGCCTTTCTTTTCTTGATTTCTTAACAATTAACTCTAGCAACATTTATTAGACTAAAGTTTACCGTGTCCGAAGATTGAGTAATTTGTTCGTTCGTGCCGCCACAACAAATGCGGACCACACAACCAACTGCACAAACCAACCAGGACAACCCTGAAGAAGGCTCGTGAGAGACGAGTCTAAACGTCGGTACTGGTCAATCACCCGATTGACCAACTAATTCGCTTGCGCTGTATATAAAAAAACCGTTTTTATGCATTTTTCAAAGTTTACCATAAGACAGATTTTAATAGTCATTTAATTTAACAGTCCAATAATACATTTTTATTTGCATGGTATAAACGATCAAATGGTACAGTTACAGCTTTAATAAACACAGTTTTGAAACTCCACAGTTGTGATTTTTTGAAGAAACCAAGCATTAAATTAATCCTGTGTAACAGCAACACCTACTCAATTAAATTCGCTAATACAATATTAAACTATAGAATCGCGATGGTCAAAAACCGTGTCGTAACACCGATCATGTTAACAGTTGCAATAATAAACTTTATCGAATTCCCCCTTATCATTAAAACTTTAGTGAAAGGTTGCTGGTTAGTCAGTATTAAATATAACCTTAACGTGATGAATACAAATCATAATATACCTAGCAACATATAAAGTAACTTTGACAATACCAATTCGTCAGGCGGCTCAGTTTACATATCATCGCGTAAGTGAACCAATTATTACATATGAGAATATGGGAAATACCGTCACTCTGAGTAACAAGACCCTCTGTCAAGCGAGAAAATATGGACGATCGCGGAACAGAGTGAGGATTGTAAAAGAAAGAAGAGCCTCGTATCCCGCCAAGTCAAAACCCAAGGTGCAAGACTTCTGTAATCACACAGCATGTGAAACGGTAAGGACAAGGCTCTGATCGTTAGAGTACACCGGCATGGAATCACTATATTCTGACCGCAGGTGCTGTGTCAGACTAAATGGTGTTAAGACGAAGTCTTTCAGCGTTGGCACTGGACTCAACCAAGGATGCGTTCTGTCCTCTCTCCTGTTTGTATTGTACACGGATACAATAGTCAAGCGCAGTCAAGGCGATGCTTATAAAAAGATAGGAGATGAGATGCCGAAATGAAAAAGTTGCTGGTTGCAAACGATCTTGTTTTGTTCTGCAAACGGTCTTCTGAAACTAATCGCCAGCGATGTCTGGAAAGGTTCGCAGCTGCATGCGACGTACATGCGAAAGTATCTAAGCGAAAAGCCGAGTGGTTTCTCTTTGTTCTGCCCCTTTCTCTCTTTAGATATACGGAGATGCTGTGAAGCAGGTGCGCAACTTCATGTATATGAGGGTCGTGTTTTTCTGGTGATGGAAAATGGAAGAGATTGACCGACAGATTGGAATAGCTAGTGAAGTTCTGCGTGAAAAAAAATCGACGTTGTGACTAAAGCACAGTTGAGACTGAAGAATAAGCTCTCGGTGTTGAAGCTGATCATCATCTCCATGCTTACCTATAGTCATGAGTCGTGGAGCATGACTGAAAAACTTCGAACCCGGGTACAAGCTGCTGAAATGGGCTTTCTGAGATGAGTCGCTGGCCTTATGAGTCGCGACATGGTCCGCAATACAGAAAGTTGAGAAATCCTTGGTGTAAAGCCGTTGCTTCTTCAAACTGAGAAGTCACAGTGGCAACTATCTGGGCAAGTGTTGCGAATGACCCCAAAGAGGAAGGCGAAACAACTATTTCTTATCAAGCCAACCGGCAAAATGCCCAAGGAATGGTCAAGTTCAACATGGTGCAAACATATGGAAGGAGCCTGGTCTAGACTCCGGTTGCCTTCTGTTGAACTTCAGACTATGGCACAGGATCGGGAACGTTGGAAGCATTGTCTATCGCGTCTGCCCCCGTGACCCGAAAGAAGCGGTCGAGGAAGATGTCGAGCCATAAGTGGAATCGCATTTTGCAAAGTAGCAATCAGGTGTTACATTCCTGGCTCATCAGTCAGATTATAATTTGTCAAAATTTAGTCGTGACATTTAAGTCCGAAAAATTGCAAAGGGAATATGAACCGACGACCAGTCAAACTCCCGCGCGTTTCAGGTCGCATGTCCCTACGGGGCGTCTTAACTTGAATTGCATTTTTTTCTGCATTTCACGCACCATGCGCGCCTCAGGTCCTTGGTTGAAGCAAAATTATAACGTAAAAGCTTCGTAAGTCAGAGACCACTTGAATACTCTGCTGTCACTTTGTCTTCAAGGATAAAGACCAAGAAGCGAAATCTCTTCATAGACATTATGAACGTTTCCATCATGATACTAAGGGTGACCAGTGATGAGAAATCTTGGTCCAGAGCAGGGACCAAACTCATTATCATTGCGTTTTAAGCATTTTACTCTGAACAACTGTACGTACGTAGTCATGAACGTTCAAAGCATAACTTTTCTACTAGACGATTTTACGGCGTACTGCACCGCCCCCTTCTTTGCCTAGGGAAGTAGGAGCATTTGAGCAGGCCACCATGGTACTTTAGCACTTACAGCGCCAAATGCACCTCGCGTGGTTTTGCTCGCTATAGCCACCAATGGTTATTACGAACAATGGTTCAGGAGTTGATACCCCTTATATGCTATCGTATAAACATGAAAATATGTTGATACACGGAAATATGTAAACAATGCATAACACGTCAAAGACCACATTTCAAGGTGTGGCGAACAAACTGATGTGAGATGTATCTTGCGCTGAAAGTGCTCAAATGTCATGGAAAGGTGGCTTGCTCAATAGTCTTCCTGAACAACTAGGAGCAAGGGACGGTGCAGTAAGTCGAGAAGATCTGATACAGGAGGAATTATGCGTTATCTGAAAGGCGACGACGGGTTAACCCTCAACACTCTGACGTTGATGCTGATCGTCTGACGGACTTGAAATAAGCTAAACTAAAGAATATCTTTCTTAATCTGCAGAATAACGGTAGAGCGCTTTGTCATTCTTTTCCGGAAATAAATACAATCGCTGAGAGCTTCAAGCATATAACAGTTTTACTTTCTCGGCTATTCATCACCTACTGTTTAGAAGTACATCTTCGGAGCACATGCGAAGACCCAAAGTGACAGAAATAGAGGATCGCATATCAGAGGAAGTGCAACAGCGACTACATCAGCTGCTAATGGAGTTGTGAAAACATGTTAAGCATCTCAAAATATACCGGTAGCAGTGCAGCCGGGACTTACTGCTCTCCTCATCTTTTAAAACAAAAATACATCCTGATCGCAAATCGAAGGACTGGCGTGCAATCAGTATTTTCCTCGAATGCAGAATGATTTAGCGCTGTGGTATTAATACACTGTAAATGATATTACTATATTGTAATGTGGGAGGTAACGAAGAGCAAATCCTCCATGTTAAGGCCGTCACTGCTTCGACCTTGATGCTGACCAGTGACATACGAGAAATATACTGAACTAACGAATATCCTCTGTCCACTGGACTTACGATAAAGCGCTTCGTCACGTTCTTTGCAAATGGCACGACAGATTATCTTCAATCTTTTCGCTTGAGATCACATTAAGCGTTTGATTATCCAATGCAGATTCTCCTCAAGCACTGTAAAATAGATCTGCTTCACATAATAATTTAACCTGAACTCAAACGAAAAAACTGAGGTCCATCTATCGTGTTCTGACCGGAATACGATGACGAAACATTATGTCTAAAGCCATAAGATGGATAAAGACATTCTTAAGCTCAATTTATTTCTGGCCCTGGTCAACAGCTGGATCGAAGTTCTGACGGTCCCAACACTGAAGATTTACTTACCGCTACCTGCCACGTACAATACGGTATGTTCATCTTCGTTCTAAAGGTTAACTTACAGCACTTCATCACGTTCCTCCGGGAAAAACACCACACATGAACCCAAATCCTTCGTTGGCTATCAGATTAAATTTTATTATCCCATAGAGAATTGTACAAAACATGAGGGGAGAAGTAAGCTCTAGCTGGGTACATAGCTATTACGGAGTGCCTATCAGGTTTTCTCCACTACATTTGGAGCTAGTGACAATACACGTTATAGCACTTCCCATGGCATGCGATCCCACACTTCTATCGTCACGGGTCCTTACCGTGTGGTCAGAAGATAGATTTTTGCACATTAGACGATGAGTCGCAGAGAGAGTAGAAACTTCTACATACTTGAAGCTCTCGGCGGCTGCACATCGTTACTGCAAGAAAACACGCTTAGTAGATTTTCAGCATAATGAAATGACACTTGCTATGAAAGAGAATAAAACTTACGTTCACTTTAAGTAGTTGGCTAATGAGGTCAATTGCATCGTTCGATATTTCGTTCCAAGGATTCGGTGGAAACATGAAAGCGGCGTTCTTGATCTGATCCGCGATTTCTTCACCTTCGTTAAACGGAAATGTGCCACTCAGCGTAACGTAGATCACGACGCCAACCGACCACAAATCCAAACTTTTGTTGTACCCTAAAACGTGCCAGAATTGGTGACAAATAATGAACGACGCAGAAAGGAAAAGGGAAAGTCGAGCAAAAAATCGAAAATGGAGCCTCGTTGTCGTCACTCTTCGCTTTAACATCGACGCAATGTTGCAGATTCATGATTTGTGTTCAGCTGAAAGATTTTCTTTGACGAAGAGCTGTTTACAAGGTTAATGACAAAGGAACGATTCCTCTTCCATAGATGATCGCGTTTTGCAGTTGTATTTTTATTTAATTACGTTTTCTCCCCATAAAGAGGGCGTCATTCAAATGTAGCTCATTCTGTTAATGACTAATGCGAGATAAGCTCCATGTAAACCACCGGATCAGACGACTCCGGTTCAAGAATATCCCTAAAACATTTGTAAAGCGGTTAACGAAACGTCTCTTCTGACACGATGACACAAATTCATCTTTACCATAATCATAACCAGCACTGCTTTATAACATTTAGCCGGCAATCTTAGGCCTCTAAGATGCTTTGCTGACTTCTTTAATAAGGTTCAAACAGCGTTTCAGAAAAACATGAAAACAACTGAAACAACAATAAATGATACTTAAAATGTTCAAAACGTAAGAACTACAAAAAACAATGCTCACAACAGTGTTAGTTCAGCACGACCAAGAATGTATATTTTCACCAAAAAACACTAATCACTATCATCAAAAATTGATACCAATCATAATGAGACTGAAAACAAAGAAGGCGGCCCAAGTCAGCGGGGTCCATGCAAAATGACCTCATGATAAGACGACAAAGCAAAAAAATGAAAATTCAAATAAACACAAAAATACCTTCTTGATCTGTAAAAGAGAAATGTGGACCCCCCAGTGGACGGTTTTGTATATACGCGGTGTCTTACTTCATCCACAAAGCAGGTGTGTGGTAATATGGTATAGTCTCAGCGAGCGGTCTTCTAGCAAATCTTACAAAATGATGAGAAACGTTACCTGTGATGCAGACTGTCATGAAGCCTAATTGTGTCCCACCTAGTAGCACCTCAAGAACAACACAACCCAACAAGAAGCGAAACCGAGTTACTGGTGCATAAGCCGGCAGTGACGCTCCTCCACTCAGAGAAATGGAATGAAGACAATAGCTAAACCGGATTGCTTGGCAGCGATGTATCAACGAGGAAGATGGTCAGCGATCCAGCAGCATGACGCTGAGCTGGCTATGACCAGATTGCATGTGTCCTTGATTAGGGGTAGACCAATGAACACCGTATCATATCGACGGCTCCACTGAACCTTCAAGCTGTGCTCTCTTTTCCCCTGCCC